CCGCCGCCGCCGCCGCCTCCTCCTCCGCCTCCTCCTCCTCCTCCTCCTCCTCCTCGCCCGAGAGGCTGCCGGGTGCAGGCAGCGAGCAATCCCAGCTGCCGCTCCAGTCTCCTTTTTTTCCCTTTGCCCGTCTGGCACGGGCATCATTAGCGCTGAAAGCTGTTAATGTCTGGTCTCACAGCTCCCCCTTTAGTCTTGCTGCGCTCTCTGTCTCGCATTCCACGCCGGATCAATAGCCGCCTCTCCCCGACCTTAACCTCTCTCTCGACCCCGCCTGGCTTTGGCAGCTGGCCCCCAGTAATATGTCCCCTCTCTTGATGCCCAGACAACAGACAGGCGGTGCGGGAACGGGTGGCGGAGGTTGGGCCTTACTCTTTACTCAGGACCCAAGACTGCCAGGGTGTCCAGTACCCTTCTGAGAAGGTCACTGCACACACACACACTCCCACTCCACCCCTTGATCTACCAAACCTTTGTATAGAATAAAAGTCACTCCCAACCCCAAAAACAGGGGAGGTGCGTGTGTGTGTGTGCGTGTGTGTGTGTGTGCAGGTGCTTAACATAGGAAAATATAAAAGTACAGTACAAATGTGCTCCTGAAGTAATATTACAATACCTCAGACTCATTTCTCCACCACCTGCTGTAGGCCTACTATGTGCCTGGCTCAGGACTGGGGTTTTGTGCAGACTGGAATCAGAAGGAAAGAAATGCCACATTTTCTGCACTATCTGAAAGAAAAGAAAAAAAGAAACAGCAGATGTCAAAAAGCTTTTTGAACTCACAAATATTTCCCTGCTCTTCTTTTTCTAGCTTCACAGTGCATTCCAGCAGATAATCCCTCATATTCTCAGTCACTTTTTCTTTATAGAGGAGTAGCTCAGAAATCATAAATCATTTCATCAAATCAGAGTACATTTTTATTAACCTCGTGTGGGGTTCTGATTCCCTGCGTGTGCTGCGTGTCACACTCCATGCAGTGGGGACAGATTAAACAGACACGTGACCCCCTAAGCCAGGCTTCTTGTTTGAAATTCTTTGAATGATTCTCAATATTTAGCTCTTAGCTGAGGTGGGGCTCTATTCGAGATCCTACAATGTTATCTTTGCCTTCTGAACGGTTATATTTTATATTATGTCTTTGCAAAAATCTGGAAAGAACCAAGATAAGTAGTGTCAATAGAAATGGGAACTCCCAATGTTTCTGCAGAAAGAAAATCCACATTTCATTTGTTGTTGTTTTTTTTAAACAGGGATCCACCCCTCTAAAATGTAGTCAAATAACTTTGTAGCAATATAAAAACTGAGCAACACATCTTACCAAATTACTTTGGGCTTCATTTCTGGTGCTTAAAAAGAAAAAAAAAATTCTGCAAAGGCAAATCTTTTTATACTCATAGGTGTAGGGCGAACTCAGAAGCAAACTGCCTGTTAATTTCTATACCTCAGGATCTATAAACACTATTGACTGTGAGGATGAGGATAAATAAAATGCACCAATCTGAACAGTGGACTGACTTGTTTTAACTTTTGAGGAAACTGTAATGGAGGTACTAAGCAAATCATGTTAATATGCATATTAATAAGGCTCTC